GTTGGAAATTTGGAAACCCCCCCCCAGATAGTCTCTGGATATGCCACTGTAACCTACATGATATATAATTGGCTATAACTATTTTGTAAAAATATTTGATGTTTTTTGAATACAATACACTTGCAACAGAATCCAGTCTGTAGTGTATTTTGGCCTTACCAGTGAAGGAAGACTAGTTTTTGTGACGTCCCAACTCGCCGACCCCACAATCTTGCCACTATATATTTTGATTTAAAGTGTACACTATTTTTCTTGGGTTCAAAAGGCCATTCACTTAAAAGTCTAGTGTTAGATCAAATATCCAGTCAAAACTACGACCTGTTATTTTCTGAGGTCTTTCTTTAATTTTTTTTTTTTTTATCTTTACATGTACAAACTAGTGTTCCAGGTAATACCATAAATATAGCTTTAATATACTATATATAAAAAGAAATAGCATGTTCACAGTTCACATACATTGAGTAATACTTCATTATATATGAATTTTGCACATCATTACTAACTATATTACAAGCCAGGTGACATTTAATACCCACAGAATAGAGATATCTTTAAATGAAATAGAGATATCTCTGAAACAATAAAATATCTCTATAAATGTTATACAGATATCTTTAAATGAATGAAAGATATCGCCAGTTGAATTTGAGATATTGTCAAATGATCAAAGATGAATAATAACATGAGGCCCAATGGGCCTGCATCGCTCACCTGATATTAATCTCAAACTTGTAATCTTAAAAGTGGACTAAAATACAGCTACAGGCAGAGTATCAGGTTGATTCATAAGAAACTATTAAAAGATTTAAACATAAGACACCTGTGACCTTGAGTATAGAACAAGGACATTAGGTTGAAAGTGGGTCAAGGTCATTCATTTGAACAAACTTGGTAGCCCTTCATCCAAGCATGCTACAGGACCAATTTCAGTACCCTGGGCCTTTTGGTTATTGAGAAGAAGTTGTTTGAAGATTTTACATTTGACCCCTGTGACCTTGAAAGTGGGTCAAGGTCATTCATTTGAACAAACTTGTTAGCCCTTCATCCCATTCTTAATATCTCCTAATTATTACATATCTATTGTTTTATGAAAGATCTCCAAAATTAATAGATATCTCTTTTAGGTGTTAAGTGTTATGATGGTCATAGGGACCTGAGAATTTGTTACCTAAAATTGATCTAAACCCCCCAAACGTGTAATATTACTCTAAACACCTTAGTTAAGAACCAAATATAGCTTTAACAAATTCTCAGGTCCCTGTGATGCTGGCTTGTCACAGACATTCCATTACTAATTTGCTGCTATGTATGGGTCGTCCCTTTTAACTCATTCACACCTAAAATTTCATAATGGACCATTCCAACCTTTGAATTGGAAGAGTTCAAATGTGTCTTCAGGGGTGAATGAGTTAATATGGTACTTATCGGTCGCCATGTATGGGTTGCCCACTTTATATTATACAGCACACATTCTTTGCTATTTTTGGTCGTTAGCTTAAACAATTAAGACATTTATTCATTGCTTTGATTTGGTTCTTCCTACAGTATTGTTTCACTCATTTATCGTTTCAAGGTGGTTTTCTGTTCTGGTTAAATACCCAAAGAAGTCTGTTCAGATCGGGTATGGCATGGAAAAATAGCTTGCAAATATGGGTAAAGCTCTTCCAGATCTATATGGAAACAATACACCATCAGCATTGTTACCTGATTTTTTCGTATATTTCTATGTTTATCTACAATGTTTCAGTGTTTATTGTGCTTTAAGATTTAATCACTACCAGTTGATTGTGAATTGTTTGCGACTACTTAATTTCCTGAAGACGTCTTGCAGGGAACCGCTTCCCTTTTAAGGGACCATGCATAACATGCCTCAGTTTTTGTCTATTTTTCCTAAATACACTGTTTCCATTTCCCTCTAGATGAGTTTCGATTTCGTTGTCTACTATCTTTGTGTTTTGGTGATTGTTTTCCCTTTTCATTTTACTGTTCGTGATTCGATTTGTTTTAGACAATAAAGTGTCTTTATTTCTCGTGTACTAAAGTACACAGTATATAATTGTGGCATCACGCAATGCTTACAGACACATGGACCTGAACATATTTTACAGCAGCTATGTTTGGACCAAAACTGAGGTGCTCACGAGTGATATTACATGTTTTAGGGGTTTAGATCAACTCTCAATACCCCCTCCCTATGGGCGAGTGTTGACCTAGTGACCTAAAAACCTAAAACTTGTAATATTACTCTGAATACATCCCTTTAAGAGAAAACATAGCTGCTGCACCTAAGTTTTAGGTCCCTGTGGTTAGAGACATGCTTTATGAGAAGTCGAAAGCTGTTTCAGGTGTGTTGCTATCTAAGTCCGTGGTTAGACACATTGATCATGATTGATTGTTATGAAACCTCTGACTAGGGCAGGTAATATTTTGCTAATTTCTTAAATGATTTTTTTATCACTTTCATTATACAAAATATGTTTGTATGTATACCTTTTTTTCACCCACCTATTCAACACTACAAACAGTATTTTTACGAAATTGGTCAAATTTTATTTGCAGTTCACGAGTAAATAAAACATTGCAAATTAAAACATTGCTTCAGTTCACATACAAAGCTTACACACTTGATCAACTACAGTACTGCATAAGCAAAACATCACAAATAAATTCAACTTGTAAAACATGGCGACTTAAATGTCTAAATAACAATATCCCAAGGGGCCCTTTAATCTCACCAGGTCTTTTGTTTAACCATTTTGTATTTTAACTCTATCGACTCTTTAAGACTTGATTGTCTTAATTTTATTTTACAAAGCACAGAATATATTGCACCATTGCATAATCTTCCTGGGACTTTGTCCCAGTTGAGATGAAAATATACAAATTACGAAAAATGGCAACATGATCATATCTATCATATATAGGGCAAGTCTTCTAGGCAAACAATTGTGTGTTCAAATACATGTAAAAAAGTTCTGTTCTATCTTTTCAACAAATGAAATTACAATCTTTACTCCTTTGTAAGAAGCACAAAGAGTTAAAACATGTAAAACTTATTAAACTTATTCAAAACACAAATTTCTAATTATTAGAAAGACTTTTATCAGTGTTTGCAAACGATACAGACTAAAAACTTTATTCACATAAAAATCAACCATAGCTTTATGATTTCACTTCAGGTAACTTTACATGTGTATTGGAACAAAGATGAAAATAAAATACAAAGTTACAACTTTATATGGACAACAAGATATAAATTGTGTGCTTTGTTCGGTTACGCTGCTGCGTTCTGGTATTTCAAATAAAAAACATGTTGACAACCAATTTGTTTACCAGAAAAACACATCACTTTGTGGATTTTGGCGAAAGGAAAAATTTCACAATAAGATATATTCAGTGTGACGAGAACACATGCATGATAAGTCTGTGAACTAGTTCTCTGTGTCACTCTATACTGCCAGACAAATATACCCCTTTACAACCTAAAACACAACTATCACATTGTAAAGCTTAACCCACTAACCTATACAAATACAGTGTATAAACAAAGTTTAAAAACAAACGGGAGAGAAAAACACTCTTACACAGAGGAGAGAAAACACTCTTACACAGAGGAGAGAAAAACACTCTTACACAGAGGGTTTAATATGATCGTGTTCTGTACGGTAATTTTACAGATACACTGGTTCTGTATAAACAAGCACTACTGTATTGCTTCTATAGCGATACTTACATATAAACAAGAACAAACACATACTGCTCAATTCTTACATAGAAATGTATAAAAGTTGATGTAAATTTTAAATGAATAAAGCCACTAGCTATGTAACAGTTCGAAATAACTGACTATCTCATTTCAAATGGTTTTTTTTTGATACAGCAGAGGTAGTCAGTTATTCTAGACTGAGTATGTAGGTAACATGATCATGAATTGGAACACTATCACATTTAATAGAATATGGCGAAGAGTGTAAATACATATACAAGCAATCGTAAAATACATATAAAGTGATAAACTATCATACGATACACTAGCTAATTGTATAAACTACTGTTCGCTAAACTTGATGTCATATAAATTCAAAAGTGTTTTATACTTGAGATATCAAACTACTGATTAGTATCATTCACACATCATTCCAAGAGTACATATACATGTATGTGTTTAAGTATTTCACTCTCCATTCCAATCCTTACACACCTTGTTCCCGATAAATGTACAAAAACCAAGCTCATACCCTTGTTTGAGGTGTCCTGGAAGGTTTGTTTCATATTTATTATTAAGCTACACCAATCTGTGCCCCCCCCCCCCACCATACAACAAAGCCACTCCTTTGTTCCTGTAGGTATCACATTGTCGCTTCACTATGAGGCAAAGTGTTACTATGCATTGCAATTTCTTCTGTTAAAATTTTCTTTTTTTGATTTCAAAATACATGTATCAAATTCTTGATGACACTGGCGTTTTTTCTGTCCTGGACTGGACCTGGAAAATTCACTGATATGCTTCAGTTTTCTTCAACACACTATATATCCAGATCATTAACTCCGAAATCTGTTGTTATGATGTCCCAGATGTGTCTGTACCATCAGACGAAGACAGGGACACAGGTGGGATCAGCCATGCTTTAAGCTCCTGGTTCAGCTGGGCAACCTCCTTGTCCTGTTTCTCGTAAACCTTCACTGTCTGAGTGAATCTTATTACACCTGTAGGAGGATTCAAAAACAAGACAATCATATATGTAGCACATGCAAAACATATAACAAAAATAGTTAGTGTTGGGAATTGGTTGAAATCTGTTATACTTTATCCTTAAATAACTGATGATTGATAAATAATCATTTAAAAAATAAAAACCCTATAAAATCCTCCATACAAGACACAAGTTGTGAGAATTACCTTACTTCAAACACTTGATCTGGGCCGTTTTCGTTTATCGCGATCCAAACGATTGGACCAGTTAGACCAGAGTTGTTTGTTTATGAAATAAGGTCGGGCCTAGTAATCTGATGGTGCTGTCAGGCGAGCCTTGACAAAGCCTTGCAAGGCCTGCATAAACATTAGCCAAGATTTATACCCTAAAATGTTATATCTGAAAATAGTTCCGCAGAAATGAACAGGTCCTTGTAATTTATAGTCCTAAACAGCCATAGGTAGGCATGAAAGCAAAAGTATGTGAGTGGGGATGCTGACACAGCAGCAGAAAATAGAAATTTCACTGGACTATTTTTTTTTTACGTTTCAGCAAGAAAATAGGTTTGAAATCATATCTACATACAATTTTATTCCAAATAAATTTGATCATGGATTCTATATTTAAGAAAGTCTTCAGAAATAGGCACCACTCAAAATCAGAAAGACACTAAAAACAGATTTATTAGGAATAAACCTAAGGAGAGATATCAAACAACATCCTCTGAAACTTATCATTACTACATAAAATACATTGATTAATGTACAGTATCATTAACTTTGATAAATGTATTATTTAATGTGTATGTTAACTGTATCAATTGATTGTATAAATTGTTATATATGTACTGTGAAGCGCTTTTAGTGTTGCTTATTCTAGCTAGACAGGGCACTATATTAAATGTTGTGTAGTTAATAATATTTATAAAGTAAACAACAGTACAGTAAAAAATTCTCAAAATCTGTATCACAGAAATGTATATAGAGGATATTTAATGGTGTCTTCAGTAATAACAAATATATTTCACGAGTGTGGCTAATATTTTGATACTTTTCATGAGTACTTTTATCAAGTAGATAGAATCCGATATTTCACTGGCAAAAATGTAATAAATATTAATATTAATATGTTCCATAAATTATTGCTAAAAAAATATAGAAATCGTGTATGGATTAGATATACATGTACATACCATCCCCATCTGGAGTGAAACCATATCTCTCTATCACTTCCATCTGTATCTGTGTGACTGCAGGGAACACAATTTGCATGGCTCTGAGCATGTCATTACCAGCACTGTCCTTGGCTTCCTTTATCTTCGAAGCATTTTCAGGGAGCAGCAATGCTTCAAGGACATCCTGTAAGGCAACTGCAAAATACAAAACAATTATATACAGCAATGAAAAATGTGCAACAGTTCTCATGACATGCTATTACCGTAAAATATCATTCATTTTGACATGTAATTAAAATTTAATAGCTGAATTGTGGTCATTTTCATTATACAATTTTTTCCATTACGGACAAAGATAGTGCATTCCACCAAAACATACAAAGAATCACAAGTGCGAGCTAGCTGATAACCTCTGAAAGTTGAGGGAAATCCCAACCTGTTGCAACAGCTAACTTGTAATATAAGGCCATATGAAAATAGTGTTTAATGTTGATGGTATCACTCATTGTTAATGAATTTTACATTTAAATGTTAAATAATAGTCTTACATCCTTAGCTAATATTTTGGTAGGCATGAATTCAAGCTTATATTTCTTGATTCTAGTTGCATTTCCTTCTTTTATAAATGACGTGAGAACACTGCAAATATATTCCAGCAACCAGATCTTAACTTAAAATTAAAAAATCAGTAAATGTTTTATAAAATATGTGACTCGTTGTGGTGTTGGCTGTTATTTGGGTCAAGGTAATCTTTCAGTGTAGTTGCACTTTTAAATGGCCACTGTGTAGTCCCAATCAATACTGAGCACTGAGCCCTAAGGCCTAATTTATAAGCCGGCCATTACAAGTAGCTATTGCAACATGCTAGGAACTCTCTCAACCTACTGTGAGCTGATACCTGGTTGAAGAGCAAAAAAATGTTATACATTAATTGTAGCTTTGATATCCACCTCAAAGGTGCTTTGGTGTCATCTGAGACCTTTTTATGTGCTGTATCTGTTTCTGAGGTTTCTGAGTCCTAAGCCCGTATTCATGAAACCGTTCTCATGCTCAAGCATGGATTCTGTGCTCAAGCCAGCTTTCTTGTAATTCACTTAAATCATGACAACCATCAAAAAGTCAAATTTAAATATTGAAAACAGTATTCAGCTTTTTGTTTTTGTTTTTTTGTCCAAAACTTTAACAAAATAAGATTTTTTAAATAGTTTATAACTGGAACAAGAAATTAGACTAGCACAAAATCAAGACTTGAGCATGAGAACGGGTTCATGAATACGGGCCCTGACTTTTTGTGCAGTGCTGTGTGCATACCCCTGCAGGCTAGTTGACATTATCAGGGGTGTTTTATTTTTTTTGGGGGGTGGGGGGNGGGGGTAGTAGTAGATGGTGGGTTGTACATGATTTGACATCCTATCAACAGCTAAGGTGGTTGCTTAAGTAAAAAGTAGTGAAAGTAAATACATAACTGGTCACATCTGCAACGATGTTTGAGAAAATGAGCTAAAGATTATTTTACTTAAATTCCTGTAGAAAAACAGCTTATTGTGTTACCTTTGATTCAATTAAAACAAGAGGCCCAGGGGGCCTGTATCGCTCACCTGGATATTTGAGCAATCATGGGAAAATATTCTCAATAAAAGAACGTTTGCAAATATATCAATATATTAAGTATCCTTGGCTTAAGAATGTTCCAGACTAAATGAAACTTTGTACTTATCTATCCTAGCATGCTACTGGTCACATATTATCACCCAGGGCCTCCAGATATTGCAGACGAAGTATTCACATATTTGACCCGAGACTGTGAAAGTAGGTCAAGGTAATTTATTTGAGGAAAACTTTTAGCACTCTGTCCATAGCACTCTGTCCAAGGTACCTACTGGCAAAATATCATTGCTCTTGACCTCTTGATTATTCAGAAGTTGTTTAAAGGTTTTTACAATTTTGCACCCTGTGGACTTGAAAGTAGGTCAAAGTCATTTATTTGAGAAAACTTTATAGCACTCTTGTGCCAGGTACCTACTGGCAAAATTATCATTGCTCTAGGCCTCATGGTTTTTCAGAAGAAGTTGTTTAGAGGTTTTTACATTTTTAAACCCTGTAACCTTGAAAGTAGGTCATGGTCATTTATTTGAAGAAAATGTATAGCACTTCATGCCAGGTACCTACTGGCTAAATAGCATTGCTCTATATATAGGCCTATTGGTTATTCAGAATAAGTTTTTTAAATTTGTTTTGCACTTTTGAACCCCGTGTCTTTGAAAGTAGGTCAAGGTAATTTATATGAGGAAAGTTTATAGCACACTGTCCCAGGTACCTACTCTCCAAATTTCCATGTCAACATATAAAATAAAATATGGTTGATAAACAACGTGAAGAACATTGCTGCTAAATGTTATTTTAAATACCAGTCGTTCTTCCAATAAATAATTCAATGAGGTATTTAAAATAAGGCTAGTTAGCCTCTTTGTGTATTTTGTAACTCTGAAACTGACATAGCACACATAAACCACTCAGTTGTCGCCACTCCATCCATCACTAAATACTATATAAATGTATGAGAAACATGTAAGGAACGTAACGTTATATAATACTTTGGTACTTAAAAAAAATCCTTGGTAAGGAACAACTAAATCTTGGCACGGGTTGACTGTTACGGATCACAGGTGCTCGGGTTCTGGAATTAGTATAAGGGGTTGCGATAATATATCACATATATTCCAGAACCCGAGCACCTGTGTTACAGATTGCCGGTGGTACGGAACGACTGGTCCCGTTATTTTTTCTCCGATTCACAACCGATGCTATATGTGCTGATACAATTCGCATATCTCACTAGCGATTACTAACAAAGCTATTTAAAAGCATGAATATTCTAGATCTTGTCGTCATTAGTTGCTCTTAACGTCATTTGTCGCAGCAAGTGCCTTTGTAATTACCTTTACAATCTTGAACTGAAAAATTATGTACGGGCGCAGCCATCTTGCTTTAGGAAATCAGATAATCTAGTCGATAAATCAAAATGAAACCAACAGTAGTGAATCTGTCATCCTCAAAATTCACATAACGTTATTTATTTGCATGAAACAACATTTTAAAATAATCCTTACAAATCGATACCAAATCTTAATTGTAATAAAGAGATTAAAATATTTATCGCTTGTATATCTTTTCTTTAATCATTTTGCGCATATGCGGAAGTGAGTATTGCAGTCATGCCGTCTCTGGAAGAGTAAGTATATCGGAAAATGTGGCGTATTTTTATGTATTTTACATGTTTTCTGACACTTAGAAGCAATCAGATTAATTGTATTTTACTTACATTGAACTATTTTATCTTCTAGACCAAAGAGTTTTAGCTGGGCTGAACAGGTGGAACAGGGCGAAGATGGTAAGAACACCTTCACCGGCAAAATGAAACCCGGCAAAAATCTGCTGCGCGATGAATGAATCTCCCTTATTGTATAGTAAATAATCATAATATCTGACTATATGACGACAAAAAACGTTACATTGAGATTCAGATTACTTGCTATTTTGGCAAATTAACTTCTTGCCTGCACACAAAAAAGTACACATATGCGTGCCGTAGGGTTTATATTGACAACCACGTACGTCGTAACAGGAAAACGCACGGTCAGATCTCAACCGGGCTCGAACCCGGGACCCTCATAGTTATAGACAGACTCTACAACTGAGCTACCTGGTCTCCGGCGATCGACCCAGTCCAATTCCACTACACATATTCACTACTAGGTGACAGGTGGTAATCTTGTCAATCTGAGCAGACATATATATAGTATATATATACATTGTATATACGTCTCTGATCTGAGGGAATACATTTGTAGCATTCTCTTGGAAAATAAATACTTCACAAATGATTTCAAAAACAAACATCCGACTAAAGACAAAACATTACTCATCAAAGTAAGAGCGTATCTTCAGGATTGGACATGTGTTGGTAATTACATACAGGACAAAACTACCTTAAGTGGAATATATATTTCTTTCAAATATCGGAACAATGTATTTTCCAAGAGAAGTGCATGTTTTTACAGAAACAAACCTTGTTAATAAAACCCAGCAATGCAACTCCATTTTAGTGTTCCCCAAAATTAAAGTGGATTCAAAATAAATTTTTGTAGTCCGGTGCAGTAATATTCCATAGAGCATAATTTCTTCAAGTACAAGATTGAGAAACTTGAGTTGAATATGTGTTTTCCAGGTGCCCTCCCACCTTCTTCGGAAGACATTGACGAAGCAAAGGGGATAAAAGTGATCGTAGATTTTAGATTCAATGATGAAGGAAAGATGGTCAAGGTATTTATTAGATGGTTTTGGATATTTCTGTGTAATTTACAATTTGACAAAGGAACCAGTCGGTCTTGAAACGTTGCGACTCGTTTAATACGTACATTGTTTGTGCAAAAAGTAAAACTTTGATATCACAAATTTCCAAACTGATGAATCTTATTGAAAACTGAATATTGCAAAAAGTATTTCCAAAAAATAGTGTGCATTAATCACACTTGTTATTATGGGAACAAGTTACATATATAACGTAGTTATCATACCTACCTTAGCATCTATTTTTTTTATTTTTTTTTAATCTAGACAGTGAAGACCTATAAAATCGAGCACAGACGAGCTCCAAAGACTGTTGCCAAGAGGAAAGTGAGTACCTATTGACAACTGAAATCGAAGATAACATTTAGGCTATTTAAAAGTGCAAGAATAATTTAGATTTTTAAATGAATACCTTGTATTTGTGGAAATAGAATTATTCTGTTAATTAAGAAAAACATTGATATAAAGTTTTCTGCATTTCTTTTATTAGCATCTATACTGAGGAGTTAACAAAAAAAATGTAAATTCATCAAAATTTCAAGTTTATCAACTTTTTATTCAGTATTACAAATTGATGTTTTTATAGAATTGGCGGAAGTTTGGGGAAGCAGAGAATGACCCTCCTGGTCCAAATTCGGCCAACACCATTGTCCAAGTTGAAGAGATCCCAATGGCGTTTGTCCACAATGAAGAGGTAAGTGGGGGGGGGGGGGGCTGTTTTAGTTTTATTGAATTGAGTTAATACATTTGCCAAAACCCGAAAAAATGTTACAGTTCAGACAAAATAAGCAAATGTAAAACTGAACAAGGAAAATATATGTGTGAGTTATGACAGGGAGGGGTGGAATTAACTGCTGGTTTTGAGTGAACCATTATGTTTTTAAACGAGTTACCCCCCTGGGCCAGTACATATTTTGTAAATTCATCTGAAATTTCAGCAGATTTGAAAAGCTTTATCTTAAGCCCAGAATGCACCACAGAGCCAGTGAATTTTTACTTCAACTGGACCTTTAAAATTCATATCATACACAGATCTGCTAACTTATTGTCTAAGGTTACTGAGAGAATTCAATGTCAAATCACTGCAATGTTTGTCCAGACTTTGTGATGCAGCTTCATAGATATTCTGACACTGTACATCATGTACCACACACATTACCTTTGCTGATGTGAAAGGCTATCTAAATACAGTCAGGAGTCAAATATGTTGAAAAGTTTAAACATCTTGTTCTAAAGAACTACAATGCCTACAGTAATGATATTTGACTTATAGCCTACAAAGGTGGAAGGCTTTTCAATTTCCGTATTTTTCAAATAAATGATAATATACAAATGACTAATATAATCAGTTCACATTTTCAAATAAATTTTACTAACAACATAACAGTAAAGCACCACAGGCTCGATGGACCATGTTTATATTCATTCCGGCAAGTGTGTTATACAAACTGAACCAACAGGCAACACCCATCATTCAAATAACGCTCCAGTGAGGTTTCTGCCTAGTTTTGCATCAGAATGCAAGCTGTTTCCCCTAGAAAAAAATGTTCAAGGTTAATAATGCTATATTTTTCCAATTCATGTAGAAACAATTTGTTGTAAAATTTAGGAAGAAAATGCCCCCCCCCCCCCCCCAGCTTTCCATCCCCAGGGAACTTAACCTTACGCCTAGTTATGATGGTTTATAATGAAAACATTAAGAAGTCATCCTAACAAAATGTTATATATTTCATGATATTATGCCTACAGGAGCTCTCTTAAAACACCACAGTACAATTTTTTCCCCACAATATCATGCCTACAAGAGCTAGTAAAATTACCAGTACTCAAAAACTATACTATATATTTCATTGTTCTATATGTACAGGAGCAGTCAGAACAGGTGGAGGACCCTCTGAATAAATTGAAAACCCAGAAGTTGGTGTCTTGTCGTATCTGTAAGGGAGAGCATTGGACCACAAAGTGTCCATACAAAGACACCCTTGGACCACTTCAGGAAAAACTCCAGGATGACAAGCCAGCAACTGCAGATGGGGCAGCACCACCAGGTGGCCCCGGAGCGGCCACAGCTGCCGGATCAGCAGCTGGGATGGGATCGACAGCAGGTGGCAAATATGTGCCACCAAGTTTAAGGGACGGAGCAAAAAGGGGAGCTGGAGAGACCATGCAGAGTAAAAGAGGTAAGTTATCGTATTCGGGATAAGATTTATCAGTTTGGTATGACTAATAAAGGCTAAGTTTGTTATGAAACCAAACAGGAATTGAAAAAATATTTTGCAAGCTTTCGAAAATGTCTGTTTCCTTTTTCAAGCAAAAAGTGTAAATGGCCGGTGTTTCATCTTTAATCCACTGAAAACAACTCGCTAAGCTACAAAGGGCTGAATCAAGTAAAGTCAGCTGTCAAAAATCATGGAGACAATTCGCCCAATTGCACTCTAATAATGTAGGCAGTTAGGGGGACGATCAACATATTTACCCATTTCGCCCCTTAGTGGATATTAAAATGGGGTCATAAAGATGATTCAGCTGGTGGCCCCCCTCGTCTCTGTTCATCGAATCCCCTTCTCTCCTAACCCAGATGTATTGTTTGACTTTCCAGTTGTCCTCCCTTTCAACTTACTTTCAAGCACTTTCGAGTTGTTCCAGTCTAAGATGTTGTTGTGTGTGTTAGCATGGTCTGTAATGGCTGATTTATTGTATTGTCTCACAGACCATGCTAACACACACATATTAACTTACCGAATTCTTATGGCAATAACATAGCTATTTTGAATCTTGATTTTTCTGCTGGTTTTATTAGTATTTCAAGCTAATCAGAATTATTTGAAGCTAACAGTACTTGACACAATTTAAACAAAGGAGACTTAACATGAATCTGTCTGTTATTTACTTGGCTTCAACTCTAGATCTGCACAATAATGCATTGTCTATAAGGAAAGACTTAAGGGACATAACAAGTATGGGACTTTAGTCCTTTTGTTACATGCTAAATTGTCAATCTCTTCAAAACCTGTACTAAAAATATGAATCAGACCAAACATATATTTAAGTGTATGGGTTGTTGGATGTAACACGAATGGCTGATAACATTTATTTCCACAGATGAGTCAGCCACCATTCGAGTGACAAACCTTTCGGAAGATACGAGGGAATCTGATCTTCAGGAATTGTTCCGACCATTCGGTCCTATACAGAGAATTTACTTGGCAAAGGATAAGAACACAGGCCAGTCTAAGGTACTTATTATTTCAACACTTGGAACATTTTGATCATGTTTTCTCCAAATTTTGTTTTTTCATGTTGATGCTTTATAAAATTGACCTGAATCTAACATTATCTTTGTAGGAAGGTATATCATTCTGGTCTGATTTTGATATCAAATTGGGCTTTAATTTTGGTAAAAAAATAATCAGGAAATCTGTTATAATCCTTTTGTTAACTTGCGATCAGTTTCAGGTCAGAACAGGACACAAACAACTCACTAGGAAGAGTTTATTAAAATTGAAGTATCACCACCTTTTCCTTATATAACTTTTGCAGGGTTTTGCATTTATCAACTTCCACCGTCGGGAAGATGCAGCCAGGGCTATCACAGGTGTCTCAGGCTTCGGATACGATCACTTGATTCTTAACGTAGAATGGGCCAAGTGAGTAGAAGTTCAATCAATTACACTGGTTCTAAATAAATTGTCCGTGATCAGTTTTGGATTGTTTAAATCATAATATAAAACGTTTTATTTCGAAATATCTTTGACTTTGAAAATAGATAACCAAAGATTTAATATTCATTGTTTTAAAAGATTTTTCTATAATCATAAACCTTGTATCATTGAAAACGTTGTTTCTTTTATTTTGAATACAGGAAAAAAATGTATGCTCTTACTATTTTCTTTCAGACCATCTGGCACAAGTTAGACTTCGGGAGAAGAAACGACTTTAAGACAACTTTCCAAGGTCATCGTTGGAAATTGAGGGCTATGTATCGACGAGACAATAAATTATATAACTGGACTGATGGAGTTCTTGTTTTTTAAAAATATACCTTGATGGACTAGTTTTGTATGCTGTCTGCTGAGCCCATTTTCCTAATATTTTATCATTGGCCTTCAGGTGTGCAGACAAGTAAAATATTTTCAAAACTGCCAACAAAAGAATATAGGTTTGGTGCACTCTTTTTGTTTGTTTGTTAGACCATGGTAAGAGCATATGATGGCAGAAATTTGTTTTTCAGATTTACAATTTATTTTTGATATTTTCATTCATGCTTTACCATCTGCCAAAATAATAATTCATGATTTTTTTTTCATGGGCATCGCTTACGCAAGTCCTGGTATTCCTACCCCAAATTTGTTAATTATTTTCTTTTTGCTTCAACCAAATAATATTTTGGAACTTTTATTTAATTATTGCACTTTCTTTTTCCGTTTGAAACCTGCCACGAAAAAAGGGTTCAGTTGTATTATTGTCCCATGCTTTTTCAAAATAATTGTACACAAACTGTAAATACCAATATCCAGACCAAGCTTGAAGGCAGATGGAATCCATTCTCAGTTAAGGAAGTTGCAGCCTCGTCCACCATTCTGGTCAGATAATGTTTGCTGGCAATACTGCAGTTCGATGTTTCCTCATATCAACGTCAAAAGCAGAGACAATATATGCTACAAGTCTTGGACTATTATTGCTCTGAGCCAGGATCGAAACTTAATTTTCTTCAAGTTATTAAAAATGAAAATCTCTATGAAGGATTGTAAGATTTTCCTGATGTACATAATTTACTTTATGAAAGGTAGTCAAATGTTGCATTTTCATGATAAAAAATACTGGAAGTAAGATGTAAGGAAGTTCATATTTAAAAGTTAATAAGTTATGTAAAAGTCCAAACAAAATATGACTTTTTGCTGTCCATTTCGTTCAGGGCTCAACAGTGGAACTAATAGTGAAACAAATGAAATCTGAAACCTGTTGAAACGCAGCAAAATGGGAAGTGCCTATGAATCTCCAGTACTTGACAAATTAACAAATGGCTGCAATAATTAAAAAATATTTAAAAGAACTGTGTCTTTACCTCTTGAGTTGTAGATCATGATGTGTAGTGGAATTTTCACTCAAAGAATGCTTGCTGGATAACGTTCAGTTAAAACAGTTGTCAAAATATTTGAAAGTGATTTTATGAAGCAGAAGAAAGCTAACCTTTGATTTTTGGTAAACAAATTCTCTAGATAGGAAGGTCAGTGGTTTGCTACCAAAACATGATGTCATTGAGTCATTGAAGTAGCAAATTGCAAGGTACCAATGAGACTTAACCCTTTCACCCCTAGGTAACTTGAGTAGACTCTACTATACATTCATCTGGATAAGTCCATTATGGTCTACAGTGGTGAAAGGGTTAACTTCTTTCTGTGTTTTTTTTACGTTTTATTTATCTTTTATATCCAGCGAGAGGCGAACCTCCATTAACATAGCTTCAAGAGTGATGCCAAGGAATGGCATGACTTAGTCAGGGCCAAATGTGTTTTACACTGACAAAGGTACACCTTATTGCTTACATAACGTCTGAAAACCTTTCAAGACTCTACGGCACTGCTCTGGTGTGTTTTTCTATGAGCAGAAAATCATACAGTACATGAAAGATGGCGCTAGCACCCGACTTTCAGTATGCAATCCACCCGAGTGCTGTGCTGAATTCTTCAAATATCCTGCAACTTTCTGCTAACCCCACCAATAAACATTTATCAAAGTGCAATTGTTTTTATTCCATCTGAAGCTTAAAAGATGATGGATGAAGGGAATGATTCTAAAAGCAGATTTAATGTCGGTCTTGGCCATATAAGCATTTTTAGTCTCTCGGGTGAACAAATTGGCATCATAGATAAAAGCATAATGCACAGAAGAGTATTCCATATGACAGAACCATAGTGAGGATAGCTGAGAGGATGGAGTAATCTATATTTTCCATTTTCTTTCTTTGGTAACACACCCAATGGACTCCCAATTCATATCGGAAACATTTCAAAAGGACTAGCAATGCGATTAAGTTCAGCTCTTTTGGTCTATTATATGGGACAGATCATATCACTTGCAAAATTAGAAGAGTTAACTGGAGAAACGGTATAGGGACCTCAATCGCGGCCCCGAAACCATCGCGCCCCATCGATGTGGTACCGAACTCCCTTCTGTTGACTTCAAAAAGAATTGTTAGCCTTAGGTCCTGCTGGTCCTTAATTTTCAGAATGCTTCAAACACAGAGTTCAGTAAAGGACATTCTTCGCAGAACGATATGTACCACTAACTACATTTGTGAGCAGGCCTCGGTATCTTATGCCCTTTTATGCTGAAACTGGTCATATTTTGCCAAAGTGTGTTGACGCCGTAGTAAATTTTGTGATTGTAGAGAGGCTGTGACATATTTTGTCCTTGTGTCATATATTTAATTGTACTTTCATGTTAATACTGGTAAGATTACCCTGTATGTGTTGATGCTGACGTATATTTTCCCGTTGGGTGTTGATACTGGTAATATTATGCCCCTTGGTGTTGATACTGGTAATATTTAGCCCTTATGTGTTGATACTGGTAATATTTAGCCCTTGGGTGTTGATATTGGTAATATTTAGCCCTTGGGTGTTGATGCTGTTAATATTTAGCCCTTAGGTGTTGATACTGGTAATATTTAGCCCTTGGGTGTTAATACTGGTAATATTTAGCCCTTGGTTGTTGATACTGGTAATATTTACTCATTGGGTGTTGATACTGGTAATATTTACTCATTGGTTGTTGATACTGGTAATATTTAGCCCTTGGTTGTTGATTATAAACGAAGACTGAAAATGTGTTCATTTAAAACATATTAAAGTACATAATATGATGCAATACGTGACTGGTATCCATTTGAAGCGATGGTATCCATTTGAAGCGATGGTATCCATTTGAAGCGATGGATTTGGCAAAGAACCAGATTGTACAAGAGACAAATGGCCACGTACATAGCTGGTAGGCTAATATTCAATTGTATCACAAGTATCACTCATTCTTTTTTACCAGATTTGAGCATGTTAGTGTTATCGGGAACACTGACAGTATCAATTAATTTTGACCAAGCAATGCTGCATAGGTCTCGTACACTAATTACACCTCACTGTGGACACTATTTTTTGCACAGCTTTATACACCTATATTTATATACAAGCATGGTTATGAGGATAAATTTTAAGATAAATTAAATAAAAATCAACGGGTTTTCACCCATTATAGTTCTGGTGTTAACCCCAAGTGGCAACATTTACAGAAGATAAATCCAAACAGACCCCTTAATTTTCAGTTATCTTGTATACAAATACTTTCCTCTGTCACGATAACATAAGATGCTGGGCTACGTCCACCATTTCACGACAATACCTAGGGGTTTATTTTGAAGATCTCGAAACAGAACGGTTGAATAAGAGATTGAATCTATCTAGTGTACATGTACCAGGATGCAGTAATGTCACGTTAGTGACCACTAAATAGTGTTAGATCACTGGTACTTCAATCCACACGGTGTCTTGTTATTTATAGACTACATGTATATGTGTTAATGTTTAAATGGAAGTTATAGTGATAATGTATAAAACATTTCCATTGCTATCGCCTTGCATAGCGACTATTTGAGAACAATAAAATGCTTTTATCAGAACATCTTTTTAAGTATTGAAATTCACTTACTTTGTCAAGTGAATATAAATGCAATACAATCGAGCAATAGAAACAACATTTTAATTGTAGCGTTGTATTTTTTCGTTAACAAACCGTTTTCACATCCACAGACAGCGATTGCAGGAGAGAAGTCATAGATCGTCATATTATGTATAAAAATGGGGTTTTGGTAAATTTTGAGTCATATCAGTGTGTTAAATATTAACCATAACAAGTATTGTTTAGTATTGATTATATATCAGCTGTATCCTTCATCAATCCATCCCGATTTTCTCTGGTTAAAGCGGTGGTTTTGTCTGATCACGTAAAATCATACCAGACTTTAGAAATGGAAGGAAGGTGTTTCCTTGTCAAAAGAGGCAGTTGCTATTTTCCCCTCTTTCCACACCCTATATTCGGTGACGTTTAAAAAGTGTACGAAACTTGTGTTTAAGTCGCCGTATAATTTTTTTTACCGATTTCATGTTCTATTGCTCCTATGACATAAAATTGTATCATTCACACAAGGATGATTTAATTGAAATAACAACAAAAACAAAATAACCGATGCATGTCTATCACAGTCAGTGCAGAAAAAAGCATACATATTCATCATATCATCACGTTGAAACAAAACAATGGAATAATATATACTATTAAATAATATGTAGCATACCCTTTACTTTGTTTGGTACACGTCATTATGTGTTCCTAGGAATCGACTGTACGGTAACCATATTCATGATCTATAAGATGATACAGCTGTCGTCCGAGGCCTGTCTCTCTTTAAAAAGTGGACGGCAGATACTTCCAAAGCCAAAGTGGCATTTACTATTCGTCCTATTCTAAGTACGTTTTCTAGATTTGTCGACGTATGGATATTGTAGGAAGCTTGAAATGTTCATCAAGGAGACGAAATGACACTTAAGTAGTCGCGTGAAGCGTTTGACCAATTTCTCATCTAGTTGGTTGATATTATGAAAACATCTTATGAGGTTGAAATACAATTGTTTTAATTACTGAGGAATTATTCGATTAAACAAAAATAAGAACATAGCTGTTAATTAAACATTAAAATATGAGAAATATCGCATTAAATATCACACAAAACTACATGTTCTTGGTGAATATATTCCAGAAGAAAGTTAATTTTCCGATTATTGTCTTTCATAGTCGATGCAGAAGTGTATATATATCGATATTTTTTTTGTAAAAAATAACATACCACTTATATTTACTATGAATGAAACATCAACGCTTTAGCGCTTCATGATATTCACACTTTACAGTTACAATTATATATAGTGGTTAATAATATACCGCATGCTCCTGACCCTCCA